CCTTTTTTGTCAAATCATGTAGTGGAGCAGCTATAGTTGCACAGTCCTTCACAAACTTCTGGTAATAGGTACAGGGTCCCAAAAAACTTCGTAACTATCCCACATTGTCTGGTGTTGGCCAATCACACACTGCTTTCATCTTATCAGGATCAGTTTGTACACCATGCTCACTTACAATGTGACCCAAATAAAGCACCTCTTTCTGGAACAAGTGGCATTTCTTGGGATGGAGTTTGAGGTTTGCTGCTTTCAAACGCTTTAATACTTCCTCTAGCCGGGGCATTTCCTCATCAAATGTTGTTGCAAACACAATGACATCATCCAGGTACACTAAGGCTATCCTCCATTGTAGGCTTTCCAATACTTTTTCCATCAGCCTCTCAAATGTTGCTGGAGCATTGCTAAGCCTGAATACCATCACACAGTATTGCCAGAGACCTTGGCCATAACTAAATGCAGTATTAAGTTTATCTACTTCAGCCATTTTCACTTGATAGAAACCCGACTTTAAGTATAGAGTTGAAAATCACCTGGCTCCACTTAGGGCAGTGGGTATGAGTCCTTTTTGGTTATACTGTTAAGAGCACTGAAGTCCACACAGTAACGTTGGGTCCCATCCTTCTTCTGGACTAACACGACGGGAGCTGACCAGAGATTTCTCAACTATCCCTTCCTTAATTAGGCCATCCATGACCTTCTCCATCTCTTGCCTCTTTACCAGAGCTATCTTTATTGGACAGTGATTGCCTGTGTTTATTCTGTGCTCCACAAGGTCTGTGCAGCTGAGGTCATGATCTCCTTTTGAAAAGATGTCTGCATAATTTGCAAAAAATTTCCCTTACCTGAAGAGCCTGTGATGATGACAAATGGACTATGCTCTTCTTATAGAGGTTAGTTAAATGTTCTGGGAGATTATGCCCTTTCTTTATGATTGTATTTCTTGCCTTAGCATTGAGTGGCTCTACCTCCAGGTACACACCCAACAATGCCCTTTCCTTAAGTGTCTGCTCACATTTAAAGAAATTGGCCACTGTTATGGGTACTACTTGATGACCTGCCACAAGTGACCTGTTGTCTGGGGCTGACTAGGTCCATGGCTAATATATCCTCCCTGTGTAAAAGACAGTAAATCATCCTTTAATGTATTT